AAGAAAAATTTGACCTGAATGCTTTCTGTATTCTGAAGAACAATAAAATTAGCTTTTTTATTTATGAAGACACACTGAATGCAGAGAGATATCTCCAAATATTAAGGACGACTGTAATCTTGATAATTCCACTGCTACCTAAATCCAAATTTTAAGAAAAATAATGTTTCTAGAAGAAGCGACTTTATTGAGAAAACTTGACGATTTAGGTATAGGGACATGATACATCATCTTGAAGCATTTTTCACCATCTTTCAATTTACCGAGTAATATACAAAGGGTTTCATTTGAACAAATGAACTTTTGACTGCGGCAAAGCCGCAATGCTGTAAATATTTTAGATTGATAGAACAGGTATGGAAATGTGAGAGGTGAAATTTTCAGAAAAATCATGCTTTGCGTTTCCCAGAAACGTCTAACCTACCATCGACCGTGAGTCACGCTGTATTTACATCACTTTGCTATGCGAACAATCGATGAACATTATCTGAAAAATGAATTCTGCTATACTTCGAATCTACGACTTGTCTACTATAATTTAAATCTCAAATATTTGTTAATCATTGTTTTATTATGATATGGCAATGAAGTTTTCAATACATCAGCAGAAAAATAGATTTTCATGGATAAGAAAAATCATAATTTCTACAACTTGAAAAAAATCATTTGATATCAGAGATATTAATGTAGTTCAATATTTTACCAAATATTTCAATCATGGAAAAATTTTTGAATGACATCCAATAACAAACATCATCGAGATGATGATAATATATACATAATTTATAAATTATTTCTATGATCATCTCATTAAAATCGTAGTTGTTTATGACTGATTCCATTTATCTGCAGATGTCTCACGAAATTCATCATATGACCGAAATCTTACAAATACAATGTTCACTAGTGTCACTGTGGATTTTGAAAAATATTGACGTTGAATTGATTTTAGGGTCATGGAAGTGATAAATCATAGGATCTTCAAAGTATGGGCTCACTTGGATTTCATTTGGCACTTTTCCCCTTTGAAAGCGTCATCAGAAAAATACTTAAAAAAATTGTATGCCTTTTCTGGTTCTGTGAGTTGAATTTGTAACTTTTATCATAGCTATTCACTGATTATGATGATTATTTCAGCTCGTTAGTAAAAAATTAGCTGAACACAACAAAAAACTTGAATTGGAGAAATCGTTTTTGGATGCAGAAATCGAGGAAGGTATAGTTGATGACTTCAAATTTTTTATTCACAAAAATATTCACGAAATTAATCATATTTATAATTCGGCTGGAGCCATTTTCACATAAATATTTCAGGATTATTTCTTATACGATATGAACAAACGTAAATTGATTTTCATTAATAAACACCTTGAACTTTTTGGTTTTCAGAGCCTTATAAGCGATTAGCTTTCTTGGATCTGATTTTGATGAACTCACAATTCACAGAAACAGAGTTGGATGATGAGGTCAAGGTATTTATGGCTGCGGTGAGTAATTTATTCCATCGGTTAAATTGTATTGAAGAAGACTTTTTTTACGTGCGGGAATAAAAAGAAGTCATTCGGTGACAAGTCAGGACTATACGACGGATGACTCATCAAATCGATGTTTTGGGTGCTCAAAAATGCAGTTGTTTGAGCCGATGTGTGAGAGCTCGCATTGTCGTGGTAAGGAGTGATCCGTCTTCAGCGGTTGGTTTTCCTGATTTCTTGGAAGACAACTGGCAAATAATTGGTTGTCTACCACTCATAATTGACTGTTCTGCGTTGTTTTAGTGGTACGGTTGCAACATGTCCAGTTTTTCCGAAAAAACAAGCGACCATTTGCTTGGAAGTGCTTTGTGCGCGAACAACTTTTGTTGGATTTGGCTCGTTTGAAACACCCATACAGTCGACTGCTGTTTACTTTCCGGCTCATACTCGTAAATACACGATGTCATAGACGTGTTTCGAAACACCGCGATCGTATTTTTTGAGCATTTCCTTCGACCAATCGACACGAGCCTTTTTTTGGCCTTTTTACAAATTGTGTTGGATCCAATGCGAACAATTTTTTTGACAGTCAAATTTGTATGCAATATTGAATGTATGCTGGTCCCACTAATGCCTAAAGTTGTCTCAATCTCACGATAGGTCACACGACGATCTTGCAATATCAGTTCGCGCACAACATCAATGGTTTTCGGAACAACAACTGATTTTGGACGACCTTCACTAAATTCGTCTTACGCTAGTTGCACACACACCGATTTTGGACGGCCGACTTTGTACCGGTCGTCCAAATTCCAATAGTGAACCACATGTGGTAAGGGGACCTTGCACACATGCCTACCGGTGATCGTCGCCGGTAAAATACCGGTGAGCAGCCGTCCACTGCCACTGGACCGGCCGTGCAACTAGCGTTACGCTAAATGCAGAAAAACAGTAACTTGTATGGTACGGTAATTAAGGTATGGTGAATATTCTTATAAGCATTAGTCCTCAAAAACAATTACAATCACCATAATTAACTGCATTTCTGAAACTAGTACTCTGACAGTCATAAACAGCAAAGCATATGTTGTCGCTAAACGAAAGGTGTTGATGGCAAGTAAAATGTTCATTCTTCATTGAATATCATTCATTTGCATTGATCGGAAAATATTTGTTGATTACAAATGAATACGATGTTTATACTTATTCAACTTTATTTATTTGCTACGAATAGTCTGGGTCTGAAACTAATTTCATTTGCAAGTAAAATGTTTACCTGTCCACTGTTTCAATACACTTTATTTGAAAAATCTAAATACATATTCGCCGGCAAAAATATGTTTATCCTTGTGGTACAAAGGAATAATGATAACAAATATCACTCGAAAATTTCATTAATTCATTAGATTTTTTTCATTCCAGGGAACTGAAACAACTGCATCGTCCATATGTTGTTTATTTACCCTTTTAGGAATGCATCCAATTTCAGGTTTTTTGAGTTTTTCTCGAAAATACTTCAGACTAAAAAATACTTCAGACCAAAGTTGTAGATCTCAAAATTGTCTACAAAAATGATCCACATGAATTTTTCTGTAAGTATCACCCTTCCTGAGATATCGCAATTGTAAAAGCACGTTCTATGTAATATGCACACGTTTCCACACCACCTGTGAGGTAGTGTACTCGGCACGTTTTTTTTAACGTGGTTTCCCCAGTAGGCCTATTCCACGAATCGTTATTACGTAATTTTTAGTCATACTCATTTAACTGCATGAAGATTATTCGGGTCGATAATGTTTATGGAGTGTAATTGTCAGTTTCATTTCTTTTGATACTTTAATCTGATTCATAAGTACTCGTCATAGTTAACTTCAACAATCATGTCTTCTGCGACTTCTTCTTCGTCTTCTTCCTCTTCTTGCCGGATGTTCATACATTGTTCAAATAATGATGTATCAGTTGTCTCTTCATCAGCATCACAGGAATCATCCTCTGTTGTACTCAACTCAACATTTGAACAAGAGTGACCTTGGCAATTGGTACACGCAGGTGAACACTGTAACCCTACTTTTCTACAGCCGCATTTGACACTACAATCTTTCTTGCAATTGCAAAAAATTGGGTAAGGATATTTTCAGTTCTTTTTCAGCAGGGGGGAGCAAAGTTTTAATTGGTTCCAGAGTATTATTTATTAATTTCCAACCCCAGTCTTCAGGATTGAGTTGATTTCCTTGCCATGTCTGAACTTGATAATATACCCGATACAAGTGTTGAATAGCAGATGCCGATGTTGGAGGAAGACAAGATAGTTGTATGTACTTGATTCTTGTTTCGGGTATTTTTGACAAAGGTTAAATATCTGTACTTATCAATGCAATCTATTTTTTTTGGAGCTCCATAAATAGCAAGAACAAAATAAGCAGTTTTCTTTAAAACTAAAGCTGGATTCACTTAGTCTGCTCTAGTATGAGGTGGACTTACTTTTGAAGTACTGGTCTGTTCATCTTCACGTTGTCTTTTTGCTGCGGCAATTGAAGTTTTCCGGGTGTATGATTTTCGGCAATCCACGTGGATTGTAACGAACTTTAGACCTCTTAAATATTCAGTAAACTCATCACTTCTCGCATCACTTGCATCGATTGAAGTTTGCATCTCACAATTAACCACAAAAGTTTCACCTTTAGTCAAAAGCTTCGAGCAAAATTGCGATTTTTTTTTCAAATATTATTAACTCTTTTAGTAGACACTTGTACTAAATACGTATATTCATTCGAACAGAACGTTCAACAATAAAAAAGCAGGCANGCAATCATTTTATTAGAAATTCATCGCCCAGACTGAACCTTGCGGCACGCCTAATGAAACCATTCTATTCAAAGATGAATGGTTGTTGTAAAATAAACATTGATTTCTTCTACTCATGTATGATTTTAAAAATGAAGGAGCTGAGCCTTTCACACCGTTATGTTATCATTTTTTCAGTAGAGCTTGATGTGGAACACACTCAAAGGTCTTCCTCAGTTTCCACAAAACTACTGAGGTTGACTGTCTCGAGTATATCTTCAATTCGAAATGATAAGGAAGTAAAAATGACACACACACACATTATCGCTATCATATAATACCATTTTTTGCGCCATCTGTACTTATATCACATTTATTTCTGGAACAGAACCTCCTAAAATTACATGTGCATTAAACTAGGTATATACATATGTACATATCAAAACTTCCACCACAACGCACAGTGAAGTAATTTAATTCATATTGATGTTGTTGATAATATTTCAAAGACTATGTAGAGACTCAAAACCAAAATATTTGAAAGACGAACTGGAATCTCTGGCATTGAAAGAATACAAGACTATTATTGGTCTCGCATTAATAGTTGTATAAATGAGTTGAGTATAAGTTTTATACTCTGATGATGCCAATTCAGTTGGCAAAACGTTCGTTAAGAAGATTGTTGCAGTTTTTGGTGAATAAAAGTAGTGTCATCATATTGCAAAATATGTATACTAGAAAATATCAAGAACTGCAGTTAAAAAAAATGTTTGGGATATACTTCAATATGCAATCCAATATATTTTTCAGGAATCATTACTGAAGTGTTTCTCCAATGATGATTTTAAAACAAAACTAAAAATAATGCAAGGCCATAACAATGCAATCATTTTAATGAATAACATGAGAGTACATATTGTTAATAAAAGTCAGGTTTCTTCGATTGCCTGAAAATCTAAAAATAAATCAGTTTTGATTGGCTCAGCCAAAAATTTCAAGATAGAAGAAAGTCATTGACAAACAAGTGGATATAAGAGATGCACTGAAGTATATTAGTTGTAGTTTGTTGAAAGATGTTAGGTTTATTACAAACTCCCCTCAACCCATGTCATCACTCCGCTGAGTGATGAAAGCATATGAAAATTTTATGTTAGTTTATGACAAACAAATGATGTGAAATATTTGAAATGGATTATTTTGAATAATATTTGTTTTTATATGAGCATTGTATATGTTTAATATTCAGTGGTTTTAATTGTTATCCAAAGTTGAATGTTTTTACCATGTATCTAAATGTCGAAATATTTTTATATATTACTTTGAAATTTGTGTTCGTTTATGACAAACAAATGATGTGAAACATATGAAATGGATTATATTAACGAGAGTTCTAAGTATTTCAAGTTAATTTGATCTCACTTGAACCATATTTTGTGTATGGTACATAAGTAAATGAAATAATATGTAAGTATACATTGTTCAACGGATACTTGAATTGTGGTAACAGAAAACTTCTCAAGTCTCATAACGAATCAAATATTGAGGATAGTATTCGCAGTCAAGATATTTTACGTATGTAACACCTCCGTCACACAAAACTGTATCATAACCAAAATCAGGAAGAAAAATTCTCCCACCTGCAACTTGGACCTTCTGAACCAGAACATGTGCTAGAAACATTGTTCTTGGTTGTCCATTATTTTTTGGAGAATATTTACGAGCATCATATGGAGTTAGATAAAAAGGAACGCCAGGTCCATACATGAATCTTTCACCATATTTCCAATCAAAGTTGAAGTTTACAATACATTTCTCATTGTGCCTAGAGGTATCGTGAAATAATGTTTTTATTTCAAAGAAGCCTCTTTGTGCAAATTCATGGGCTTTCAAACGAAACTTCATATATAAAAGTGGGTTCTGCAACTTGAAGATTGATGATTTACAAGAATTATCACTGCTAAATATTTGCTGTCGGATGTGAAGATATTCGGAACTTTGAGGAGGCACTTCCACTAGTTTGTATTTTTCCTGCGACAGGTTCATAGCACACCAGTCCTTCGGCAACATGGATTTTATGTCACCCAGCAACATTCTGATAACTGTAAGGTCCTAGTTTATGAACTTTATAAAAAAGAAACCAAAAGAAACTAACCTTCAGATTGCAGGTCAAGAATCAATGACATGTACAATAGATGATGGATACAAATGTGATGTCAAAAACATAGAAACAAAGGGGGATATCTGACTGCATGTGACCTTGAAAAAAAGATGACAGTTTTTTATTATTCCATTCTTGTTATCATAAATATATAGTGATGAAGGTAAATGTACAAAAAAGGAGAAAATATTCAGAATGTACAGTAAATTGCTCAAGTATTTTTTGAGAAAAAAAATACATGGAGGAAATTTTGTGAATGCAGAATATTATTCGTATTATATAGTTGGTTACTGTTAGAATTCTAACAAATTACCTAACATATGGTAGGTATTCTGGAAACCTTATTAGAAATCATATATGTTAAAAACACTAATTATAAAAATCCAATTCAATTTTATGTGGTTCAATTAAGGAAGCAAGATAAACCAATATCATCAGAAGGGGGATTTCGATAATTCCTTCAGGTAACTCTTGAAATTACCAAGGTTCAAGAGAGTGTATGATGACATGAAATATTCATTATGAACACCTTCAACTGCCCTCTTTTAGATGACAAGAATAGTATATCAAATTGATCGAACTCATCAAGGAACTTTAGGAATATTAGTTAAGAACAATTATAACAGCAGTAACTACAGCACCAAACTAATCAACGATTTGATCACCTTTTCTTGTAGGTTAGTCAAGTGATATTCTGACTAGTTCAATGATATCTAGTTATACAGATTTTCAATAAGCCAAAGGGTCTCTGAATATTCCTATTTATAACAAACAGAATAATTTTATCAAGGAGGATTACCTCGTCAAGCTGGTACTGTAAGTTGCTTTTCATGTTTGTCATTTCGGGAACGACGTCCTTAATTCTATCCTTTCTATCAATTACTACGTTGGTTTTACAACTTATCACTTTGTTATTGGTTTTCATTTCGAGGTTAATTGTGTCTACATATATTTTGGATGGCCGTTGCTTCCCACTCAGGCGCATTTGGCCAGGTTCCTACTATCAAGGTTGACAGAAGCTTCGTTGGGGGACGCAGCGGTCTTGCACGAAGCAATGCTGCCACCCATTTTTTGTCAAACTTTTTCATCATAAAAACAATTAATTTTTTTATCAAGTAGCCTCCTTTCGATTTTTTTCCAAATATACAGCCCCTTTCACGTGATTATCCGAACCACCCCGACCTGGATACCGGCGTGGATGAAGGAGGCACCTCATTCTTCACTTTTCAAAATTCTATCACACATTATAATAGTCACCACAATGGACTAACAAAAAACGGATCTCCACGATAGCACATGGCATCCGCGTACCTTCTTTGTGGGCGGACGTTATCAGCACGTCCGTCCACTACCACGAACACCACGAAACTCCCGCTAATTCGAATTAAAAATAATCGATAATTCTATTTTTTATTGATTCGAGATATCGAATCGATTATGAAGATAATCGTACTATTTTTCTTCTTCTACATGTATGGTCGTCGCCTCTCATTATTCACGCGCATTTGACCATAATTTGAATTAATTTGACATTATTTGTATCGCAAAAAACGAACATAAAGCTGTTCTCGATTGCTTGTACCAGAACATGATGATTGCCAATCTAAAAACTCTACGGAGACTCGCCGATAGTTACTAACAGAGCCACACACAAAACTGATGAACTTATATTCTGAAGTTCTGTTGGTTAAAATTTAAATTGACCTCAACCTAAAGTTAAATTACCTACACAAAATGTGTAGGTACAAGGTACCACACAAAATGTATGGATACCACAATAGTAAATCTTGTGGATCGTGGAGGGATAAAACACAAAGTGCATGTTTTAAGTTTAATGAAAAGCATAGATGATTCAACAAAGATATTGACAGCTGACCTAATCTTCTTCTTCACTCTTCAGTGTTCATTGGCCTTGACTACCATGACTAATCAGTGATGTGATATGGATTTCTTCATTTCATTGACCAGATTTAAAATTATACATTTCATGGTATTTTTAGCAAGAGGTGACATACGTACAACAAATCATGGAATAGGACAATTATTGCTCAATAGTACAACATGGAGCAATACTGCACAGAGTGGATAATGGTCGATATTTCAGGAACTGTATTTTGAAGCGAGTTTTTGTGACAACACACTGTTGCAGTTTTCAAAAACAGGATACGATACTATTTTTTAATATCTGTCTCAGTATTGTGCTTTGGGTGTGCAGGCATGGAACGTGATCAAAAAATAACGGATAAATATGTAAAGTATAGTCACAACAGACGAGCCGACGTACAACCCTGCAGTACAACATGCAGCGGGCGCCTACCCAGCAGGAGATACATAGAAACTCTGAATTTCTAAACTTTTTCAATCAATTCACACTCCTTTCTATGGTAAAATAAGTTACGGAGACTCGCCGCATTTGCTTGGAGCTTTAGAGCGTCATGAAAACAGCCTAATGCATCTATCATGGTTTCAGAAACAAATTACTTGTAAACTATTATTTTGAAAGAAAATACAGTGGATTTCTTGAATTAAAGTGAAATAGAACGAGAAAAAAAAGTACGTTGGGTGGCAGTATTCGACTGACACCTGCGTAAAACTGCAAATTTTGTGAGGGGTACTTGTTTTACCGAAATTACCTTCAATTACAGGGTGTTTTTCGAGAATATTATGCCCAAGTATAACATATATACAAAGAATATCGAAAATTATTAGTTTGATATGTTTGTATATATGATTTCTGACTTCAGTGTGTACTATGGATACAACTTTCTCACTTGTGACACATAGTATGAAGAAGCCATATTATATGGTATTCTTTGCATGTTATAAAAGAAAAAAATGGAATTATTGTTTAAACTAGAAGTGCTTTCGGTACTAATGAGCCCTTTAGCGTCAATTTCATCGATAATAATTGAAACTGTGGCTTCACTGAGGCAGCAGGGTGAAGCTAACAATAAAAAGCAACCAAGTGTTTCTGCACTAGCCACTACTGTTTTACTTTTCTCTCTCCCACTTCGGCGAAGTGTCCTTTTTTCGAAGAGTTTTTATATATCGCTCCTGAAGCTGGGCATTGGTTCCTTGCGTGTCTTCAATTGCTACAGATGTTAGACTACAGTAGGGATGAATTACGATGACCTTCTCACAGGTCACTGTCGTCTGAATCATTATATGCAGAGACTCGAACTGTCGGACGATTGTGTTTGGAAAGTGATGAAACAGCAAAGAACATACTTTATGCCTGCCCCGCTGGGGACCACATCGGGTTTTGAGAGCTTCGCAGAGGCGCACTCTTACCATCTGACCTGAAAGATCACTCACAATACAAACTAATCGGCTTCGTTAAGAAGCTGTGTTCATTTGTTCGAGTGTGAGCCACAACAAACCTTCACGGGTTGCGGTGCAGAGTCAAATTCACTCACTTTTGACCTAACCTAACCTTAAAAGGATCCGGACGAAGATATCTTCTATCATTTTCCATAATCGAAGTCTCATTTTGTTGATTAAATTGTTAAAGATAGTTTGTTTCACTGTTTGGAACTTTTGGTGTAGTAATGAATATTACTGGAGTTTTTCCCAATACCAAACCGTTATTTTAACATCTCGATACGTGTTTCGATCACCAAGTGATCATCTTCAAGAGTAATATGAAACTTAGTTTGATCGAAACACGTGTCCAGTAATATTTAATGACAACTATGATTTCTAGAATAAGTATAAATTCAGGATGGAATATATGGTTGTAGATAGTGTTGATTTATATGTAAACGAAAGAATAACAGGTAGATTTATTCATTGGTTCCTTCATCATTTAAAATTATGTCCTCTCCCATTTTATATTACAAACAAATCTGAAAAATTATTCATTTCTTCTCAGCAAAGAGTCTACGAAGAAGTTATAGACATTCTCGGTCATGACCGAATCGTAATAGCGTCCGATTTACCTAAATTGAAGTACACCGAGAGGGTGATAAAAGAAAACTTAAGAATTTTTCCTATAGCAGCTGTTTTCGCAAGATCACTGGAAGAAGATATTGATATTGGTAAGGAGTAAATGAGTGATGTTCGAAAGTAAACCTTACAATCATATTCTTCATTTATTGATATATCACAGTGAAAATATTTATAGAGGTGTAGGTATTATTTTCTGAATTTCTGTTTACTTATATTTGTCTATGGTAATAGCCTGGTTTCAAAAATGCATGAAGCATAAAAAATGAGCAATTTCAAACTAGTACAAATATTATATTTGAAAAATATGTCTTTCAAAAATGAATTTGAAGAACTTCGAACAGTATTTTGTAATTCAGTTGATGAGGGAAGAAATATTTGCTTCAAATAATGATGTATGAAATATAATTCGAGGAATAACTTTCTCAAACATATTTTTGCTTAATTTTCACCTTTCTCAGTTTATAATAAAGAGGTCTCATCTCGTTGGTGCCAAATAACAATGTCACTTAAACCATATCAAATACTTAGCTTCTTTCACAAACCACACAAGAAACGGTTTCATCTTCATTTAACCCATTCGAATGGGCGAATTCTAGTTTTTTCATGAGCATGCATCATTATTAACCTTGGGAATCACTTTATACTAGACGATCAGAGTATTGATACATAATTGAAGTCAATTTGACACACGGAATACTACAAAATATTGATTTTTTCCCTTAACTATCTACTACATGAATGGCCAATTGCGACGATGTCGATCTCTATTTTGCAGGAGATGCTCTACTTCCAGCAGGAAGTTCAGCTGCGTTCATCACTCTCTTCATTCATCGAAATCCAAAATACTGGAGAGATCCCTTGAAGTTTGATCCAGACAGGTTTCTACCGGAAGAAGTAGCGAAACGACACCCTTGTACCTACATACCTTTTTCATATGGACCCAGGAATTGTATAGGTAGAGTAAATTTTCATTATGAAAAACTCATATCCATTTATTTATCAAAATTGAGTACAGCAGATTACAGTTTCCGATCGCATTTTCAACTACAATACATGATTGACCGTATTATTGTTTCTATTCAATAATTCATTTGATAGAAATTATGAACCATTGATTCCCTATTTTAATTTTGATAAACTGTAGTTGTAAATATTCACTTAAAACTCATAATTCGTTTAATTTTATATATTTGGGTCTGATTTATTTAAGTAGCCAAAACATATTATAAAACAAAGTCGCCCGCTAGGTACGTCTATCTGTTTGTGTACCTGTCTGAACGTGATAAATTCAAAAATTATCGAATTGATTCAGATATGTCTTTCACCAATCTGCCTGTTCAAAAAATATATTTTTCCGTTATTCAGCTGTCGCCCCCATACGAACGACAACTCTCAGAAGTAGAGAAACTTGTGCGACCTAGTGACTAACGAGGTCTTACCTTTTAACGTGTGGTTGCAGAATCATCCCAGCTTCAACCAGATAAATTCTCTCGAGAAAAATATCTGGTCGAGGCGGGAATCGAACCCACGACCTTCGTGGGTTCGTGAGTCTGGCGCACTACCACCGCGGCCAATTCCACAACCAACGAAAGAAATGATTCGAAATCACTGTCTCATCCCTGAAATAAACATTGAACAACATATTGTTCATCTTTTATATGTCTACACAAACGGCTTACTAATTAGATTCATTTTGATTTTCACTATGGATGGTTTACAAAATCAAGACACGCTATACAATAGCTTCCTCGAGCAGGATTTTATTCTACTTTTAGATTGAAACATTCCATGTTCTGAAAACAACAATATGATCTGAAGTCCGATCAGCTAATTGTTTCTAATTTAGTTTTAATTAGCTGGAAAGAGCGGATAAATTCAAAAGCAGGTAAAAATATGTATTCAAAATAATGTGAAAAACAAGTCAATGAATCAATGAATATCAGATAATAAATATTTTATCATACAAAAGATATATACAGAATACAAATCCGTGGAGGAAATAGAAATTAATTTGTACTTACTCATGAGAATGAGGGATGGCCCGAAAGTATGGTTAGAAAACAGATAAATGTTTCAAAATGTTATAGTGAAATAAAATACGTACCCACGATTTTTTTATTTATACTTGCATAAACAGTTACAGTTATTCTTATGCATATATATCTAGTTTCAGATAGATAATTATCAATGGAGACAAAATAAATCACTGGAGATTTGGGAGTATTTATACCCAAACCAGGTAGGATGGACTACCCCTCACCAAAAGCATTCCGTCCAATTAGTCTCACATCGCTTTTCTTAAAAACTATCGAGAGCTAGGCTATGTGAGCGGTAAATAAGAGATGAAATACTAGTTCACAAGTCACTTCATCCAAATCAGCATGCATATACTCCGGGAAGGTCTACTGATTCTGCCCTTCACCATGTGGTTTGCAGAATCGAGAAATCATTGGACAACAAAGAATCCACCCTGGGTATATTCATAGATATCGAGGAAGCGTTTGATAAAACAACCTTTCCAACAATTACCCAGCAACTACACTCCAGGAATGTACCCCTGGTAGTAGGAGAATAGTGATACTCAAGATGCTCTCTAGTAGAGCAATAAGTATCAATGTAGAAGACATCACAGTGAAAGGACTGACCATGAGGGGACGTCCACAGGAAAAGGAGTCTTATCACCCCTTCTCTGGAACATATTTCTGGATACCCTGATTAATCACCTCAACACTAATGGATTCTATACAATTGCATATGCAGATGATATAGTTATCTTGCAGATCGGCAAATTTGTGCGATACAGCGCAGGATGGGCTCAAATTAATAGAAACATGGTATAAGGAACATTCACTGTCGATCAATCCCAAGAAGACTGAGATGGTCCTTTTTAGCAAGAAAAGAAGTTTAACGGGCTTAAAACCTCCCGAAATCTTCAAAAGCAAACTAAACTTCTCTGAAGGGGTGAAATACCTTGGTACTATCCTCGACAAGAAGCTAACATGGAACTCTCATCAACAGAGTAGAACAAAAAAAGCATATGTGGTTTATGAGCAATGTCGGAGGACACTGGGACGGGCATGGGGTCTTTCACCCCGTGTCGTCACCTGAACCTTCACTGCAATAATAAGACCTATGTTAACGTACGGAGCCATTGCATGGGGACCGAAAGTTCAACAAGCAAAGGCCATCCAAAAATTATCACAGGAACCATGAGAACAACACCACCCGCGCCAATGCGGAAATAATTAGAGGTCTCACCCCTCTGGATCTGTATGCTAAGGAGGTTGTGTTAATGGCTGTGTTAGGATTGCGCACGGCTAGTGTAAACCTCGAAGGGAATGGGTCGATTGAAGCTGAGCCTATGACAAGAAGCGCTCACTGCGCAACCTCTGCTGCAGGCAACCAGTGATACAATCGAACCCAGGTTTATGTTTAATAAACATGCAATACGTATGCAATACGCATATATAAAGACGGCTCAAAAACCAAAGAAGGCTCAGGATGTGGAGTGTACTCCAGATCACAGATTCCGCACAGATTAAGTGCGGAATGGGAAAATTACCAGCATTGTCATTACAGAACTGGATGGTATCTCAATCACCACAGAAGAAATAACCAGGATAGTAATTTCTGGCAAAAACATAACAATCTGCACTGACAGCAGACAAGCCCTATTAGCCTTGAACAGACAACGTGTTACCTCAGTGTCACGAAGATTCAGCCAAAGCCTTGGTAGATAATAATAACATTATCCCAAGGTTGGTTGAAGGGCACGACAGGAGTGAAGGTAATCGCGTTGCCGACTCTTTAGTCAAGAAAGCGGCTGGACTAAGAATCTTAGGACCCAGTGGCACCTACGGCCTGATGACTTCGACAATTGCAGAACTAGCCAAATGTTACACCGATGCTCAATCCCTAAAGAGATGGGATGAAATTAAAGGATGCAAATCTTGCCTGGCGATGACCAGGAAAAATCTAAGCTCAAATAACCTGTCCACCTTCCTGGAAAAGACAGCATGGACGATGACCTAGGAGGACAACTCCTTGGGAGGATGTACATGTGGCTTAAGTGATGTGGACTTACACTCACCCTCCCTACTCTACAGATACAGATGGGAGAAAACTGATTTGTGAGAAGTTCTGATTTCATTCATTTTCATCGGTTATTGATGTGCTGAGGCGTCCAGGACGAACGTCATCATTCACAGCTTCTCTACGTTCCGTGAAAAACTTGTAAACCGTTTTCAGACGTACAATACCATCACCGTATGTCACTATCGATATTTCAAGTGTTGATGAGTATTTGATTACATTTTTTTTCTAACAAAATTTGATGCAAATTTTTTGATCCATTATTTTCGATAGCACTTCTAATTTTTGTGCCTCCCACCAACAAACTGAACATGCTAAACAGCTGAAACTGTGAATATATGTTCGAAACAATTGTACCAACATAAAAAAAATCGGTGATCGCGCGAAAGACCATTCAGCTCATTTTCGATTCGTTTACAGATGACCTTTGAGGAAAAAAGTTCCAGAACACTCAGTGTATTCCATATGGTCGAAATAACATATAATTCGAAGATATTTTCAACTGATCTGAACATCCTATTACTTTTCTAGTTGTAGTTCACTGTAAATTATCATCCGAAACATCCATAAAATATTAAGGTCACGACAGTTGCGGTTCATAATCCTCATTAAACCAACCTGACATTACTGTAATGAATCTTATGGTGAATTATTACTAACTTCGACTGTCGAGTTCTCAGGATCACGAATCACCCAATCAATGTGAGTCACGATGACTCATATCGAGGAATATGTCCCCGAGGATTTCTTCGAATGGCTGGATTTTTTTCACAAGTGCATCGGTTTGCTACCTCCCAAGAATCTCTCCTCGAAGATTCTGTACTTTCTGATTGCCCTTCCTCACATTTCCATGTGCACTTTCCTGCTGGTTTTCCTGGGAGGTGCTGATCTCTTGGTAAGAGACAGATCTTTCAAGGAGACAATGTTTGGAATCAGTGTAGTGACGTTACATGGTATCATCGTTTTACGAACAGGGTTTTGGATTTATTCTAGAAATAAATTCGAGAAAATCAAAGAAATTATCAGAAGAGAAACATTTACGTTCGAATGTTTTGATTTGAGAGAAATTGGATATGCTAACGTTATTAGTGTTGGTAAGAATATAGAAAACGTTTTGGGAAAAAATCTGAGTTATCGTGAGATTGGAATGTTATGGAGTGGATCAGGATTGGTTTTTGATGACTGTAGGTAAGAGAAAGCAAAATTTAGAAATGTTATATATTATTATAGAGACAATGTGTTTTTCTTTGGATAGTTGGAACAATTTTGAAGGACTTCTGGATTCCGAATGCAATGTTATTCTTATAATTCTATAGTGAAAGCGACACTTCCTTCACAGTATCATTGTTGCTGCAGAAACGCGGGTAAACTGAACTCAGTTTGAGGAGTGCCAGAAGATGACAGTACTACTAACTGTCGAAAGCGCTCGCAGATGATTAATAGAAGATATAAAGCTTCAAATCCTTTTTGTAAAGTTTAATATTGAAATACTGAAAATAAAGGAAAATTAGTTGCATCATTCAAAAAAAATATATATGTATATATTTGTTTCTGATGGAAATTTTTCTTTCATTGTCGTTTATTGAACAAACTAAGAGAAGGTGGGAGCATAAGTTTATAATAATTAAGGTTGATGTGTATTTATTTTTATGAATCAATGAAAGTGGTGCAAGTTCTGATTGCGTTTTTTAAATTACAAGATCAGAACCTGAATTCTGCCTTTTGACAGAAATGTAGAAGATATCATTCACCTGAGAATTGTCTGTATTATTCATACCTTTTACATATTTTACTACATTTTGTCAATAGGATCAATTATTATTATTATTTCTTCACCAAAGTTTGTGCTGGTCAGGCCCTTTCCCCCGAAGCCCTGATACATTCGGGAGGGCGCGCCGGCATTATCAACCAACGACCACTCCCCACACCGTGGGGTAAGTGATCATTAAGTCCAAGAATCATGTTCCCTGAGTTAGCGCAGTAAGCCAAGAATGACAGCCGTCTGCATCTGTCCGGCTAAGATATCTGCCTCAGTACGGTAAGCCGGTATGATTTTAAAATTCGAGAGTAGAAAGGGCATCATTCCACCAAGGACTCCAATAATCAGAACAACCATCTTGACAAAGTGGTCTGGATAGAGTCTGCGGAGTTCGAAGAGGAAATCTCAATATTTCATTCGTTTTCCCTTCTCTTTTCGGACGACATTCGTCTCTCCAGGAGCTGAAGACTCCACGACAAATATCGTCTTGCGCTGGTGGTCGAAAAGGACTACATCAGGCTTATTAGCTTGTATGAGCCTGAGGGTGAGGCACAAATAGTTCCAATCAATTCGGCACTTCTCGGTCCTTACAACGGATTCAATATTCCCCTGAGTGTAGGGCAACACCAATGTTTAGTCAATACCCTAAGAGTGCCGTAGATGGTAATGAAGCAATCTTAGGGCCACGTTATGTCGATAGCTATAGGCCGAGACCACATATGCTGGACCTGCTGATAACACGTGCATTAGGGTCTCGGAAGCCTCGTGGCAGGCCCCACCCCTTGTGTCAGGAACCTCTTTACCCATCACGCAACTGCGGTAGACTGAGGTGTTGAAGACACCATACTGGCATGCTATGATGAACCCCTCAGTTTTCGACTTAAGCCTACTCGACCTGTTATTATTATTAAATAAGCAATGCTATGTAACTGATGACTTTGCGCAGAAATTATTCTGAATGTTATTCAGTAGGGATTTATCTAACTTGTTATCTAACACCGTCAAAAAACAAAAATATATAGTTCAGAAGTAAATAGTCGCCTCCTTTTTGAAGTTTGTATCAAGATCGGTTGAAATTTGCGTAACAAGGTTTCCTTCTTATTGATTTTTGATATGAGAGAATATTTTGGAAAATTTTCTTCAAAAATTGGAAAATCGTTCGAAGGAAGTTTATATTAATTGATGTTATTTCCGAATCATCATTCAAAATCATTCAAAATAAGTTAATATTATTTAAAAATTCATACAGCGCGGACATAAATAGCCCCCCCCACTCTCTCAACTTTTGAACGGGACAGGGACAAAGAACAGACCCCTGGGGGACTTCATTGTTTATGCTAGCTGAAGTTTATGACGAAGTTGACGTTACAACACTTCGGTGAGATATGATTCAAACCACTCGTGAGGTATTCCGTCAATGCTATAATGAAACAATTTTCTGAGTGGTATTCTGTGATTTACACAATGAAATAGTATGGACAAATCACAGAACATTGCTCTAGCTAACTCACGATTGGTGGAATCGCTATGATCTTCGAATAGAAAGGACGATATGACATCATGAGTCCGTTGTAATCAATATTGTTCATTATATGCGATATTGAGAAATCAGTCAGACCATTTCCCACAATTTTTTCTATTAGTTTGGGTAATGAAGGGGTGAGACATGTAAGACTAGTCCTATTTTTATCTATCCCAGATCACTTCCAATTAAAGTCTGAATCTGTCAACTAATCTTCTTGTATATTCTAGTGTTAACTTGGAAATTTTCCGCAAAAGAAAGATGCTACGTACAAGACTGGGGCTCTGTTTCAGCTACTTAGCTTTGATCGTCTTCAGTTTCGCAACAGTGACTCTATTATTTATAAGTGAGCTCTATGTAGATTCTTACCAAACATACAACCCTCATCTAAATAAAACTTCAGAGTTCAGGAAATACTTGATACCGATGTATTTTCCTTTTGACACATCCCTGGATGGATATTATCAAATTGCTTACTTTTATAGTTATTATAGTCATATTGGAGCCGTTTTCATCTTCTTACGTAAGTATTGTTTATCAAATGTATTTTGAAATTTTTCAGAAATGATTTCTCCAATAGTTTTTCACGTCTTGTAGGTCACTTAATACATACAGTACGAGTTGCAAGGGATATGAACGATTATATACGACAAATCTTATTTGCCAGTTTAGAATAGAAGTGGGTACGAATTTCAGTTGAGCAAAATATATGAAAAATCATAATTATGCCTCACTTCTAGAGATTTCTGATATTTTTCATTTACTAAAGATGGTAGAAACATATATTTCAGATGATAATAGACCCAATCCCTTCTAACCCCTCACTAGTATATGAAGTGTGACCCATTTTTAATGGAAACACCCCCCTAAAATTTGAAGTTGTCAATCGATTTCAATAACTTTTTTTTTAAATGTCAAGTACTAAAAGATCTACCTTGGGAAAAAATTTGAAATGTTAATTAAAGTTTCAGGGCATACTACGATATTTTTTCTNGTTATTAGTTACGTTTATTAAAATTTTTTGCTTCATTGTTAGTTGAATTGTGTGAATGTAATTCCGTTATTTTCATTAAAAATATTTACGCTATTTGTTTTTTTTTTCATCTGGCGGCACTTTATTGTTGAAATCATAAAAAAATATTCTCATGGCTATATCTGTTGATATAGGGTGTTTTTGTGACTGTTAGCTGTGTGAGTTTTCGAATTTTTGAGTTGTCATAACTTTGTTAATAATGAATATTTTTCCATCAAATTTTGGTCACACCTGTTTAGAGGCACTCTGAATCCAGTGGCGTCGTGAGTTTTTCAATAAAAAAATCGCTATTAAAAAATCCCGATTTTCGACTAAGAAAAAATATAGTAGCATGCCCTGAAACTTGAATAAAAATTGAAAATTTTGTCCCAAAGTAGACCTTTCAGTACTTGACATTTCAAAAAAAAATTATTAAAATCGGTTTACAACTTCAAATTTTAGGGGGGTGTTTTATCAAAAATGGGTCACATTGAAGGTATCTTTTGTGACCAAATTGAAAAAACTGAAATTAGAGAATTAAAAAACAGAGAAAGTCTATAAAGTAACACCACATCATTTTTCAGCTATTGAAACAACTCTAACATGTTCTATAATACACCTGATTCGTCAAACATCTGTGGTGAAGGAAGCTCTCAGTTATGTCGACAAGAACATGTCTAATGATCAAGATTCAAACCGTATTATCAAAGAATTTCGTATTGTCAAATGTATCAACGAATTGCAGGAAATCTACAGGTAGGTTTACAATTTAATGCTGACGCTATTTAATGAAACACTTCAATATATTCAGAAATTAGTAATATTAGTATAAGTATTGTCACTCAATTTTTTATCTATGCGTAAAAAAAAGTCCAAAATTCATTTCGAAACTTGAAACTACGGTACGAAACTCCGGAGGGTGATTCCTCAAGTTGTTTTAAGAAAAAAAGTTCCTAAGAACATTTGTCGTTTCTGATATACAAGACGTTGAAGATGGTATTTATAGAATATCATAAATATCATAAAGGGGGAAACCCTTTAAATGCACCACGTTGTGACAAAACTATAGGACAAAGAAACGCAACATTTCTCGGACCACGCTTATACCAAATATTACCAGAATGAATAAAAAATATCAAGAGTCCTTCTATGTTCAAAAGAGAAGTAAAGAAATTTATTCTGAATACCGATAGAACTTTTTTTCAGACTTCATTAATCAAACTATTCCGGTGAAAACAACTATGAATTCTGCCTGTAACTACTATTTCTGTTATTATTAGGTTTATTTATTAATTGATTGATCACTCATTATTTTCTAATGAAATGTAAAGTAAAAGTCTTTATACACACAATTCACAACTTCCAACTGATTGTGGCGGACTTCTCGATGCCAGAGGTACTCGCAGAGGTAGTCTCGTTACCATTGAATCCAGGCTCTTCAAAATCGTGTTCAGGCCCCTGCCTTGGATGGTCTGAGTGTGAACACCGGTTTGTTGATCGACAAACCTTCCTGAACCTTTCTTACTGTGATCTATTGTCTCATGTTTGTATCTTTAGGTGAGGTTAGGTTAGGTTAGGTTAGGTTAGGTTAGGTTAGGTTAGGTTAGGTTAGGTTAGGTTAGGTTAGGTTAGGTTAGCTTAGGTTATGTTAGGATGAATATGGAAGCACAATAGGTTGCAGAAAAGTTTCACGATAGATGATTGCATTGAGGAAGCCGTCCAGACAAATGAGATGATACCGACCAAACCATCAATGTACCCCTTTGATAGCTGTGCTATCACAGGAATCGTTGATATGTCAACTGAGATGCAGCTATCGTTCGGTCTCATAATGCCTACAACAGAAAATGCTCCTGAACAGGCTCCGTGATTCTTATAGAGTCTGTATGTGGCTTTCTCAGAATCGATTGATTACACTTGCTTCAGATATGGAAATCTCCACAACAGCCCTTCAAGTTTGGCCAGCTTGGAGCCTCCCAGATGCTCGTAACTGTTCTTCACGCGTGAAATAGATATAAAAATATACGAGGAATATAAAAACAAATTGCAAATTTGTACAGGATACATACAATTTGATTTGACTTTGTGAAATTTTCTTAAAAATCATAGTCGCATGTGTCATATTAAAGAGCTTCCATCACAATTTTGAAGTGAAGAAGTATAGTTTTTGAAGCATGATTCATATAAAAATTTCAGATATCAATACAGTCTGTCTTTTTGTAAAATGAACAAATAATACAAAGATATATATGAAATGTAAATTGTATTAGGTATAAAAAAATCATAAAAAGAAAAGAAATAATGAAAATGGTCATTGAAAAAGATCTTTTTTGCTGTTGAAGCATACCTTTGACAGTATTTTATTTGTTTCATTCACATTCTTCGAAAGATTTGTGATATGTATAAATGAAACGCTATATCATGATTTTATATATATTTTTAGAGCTATAGAGAAACTGGAGGACTTCTGTAATATTCAATTGATGGTTCAGTATGGATTAGCTACCTTCTTGTTGTGTACTATTTGCTATGTGATCCCATTGGTAAGAAATCAAAATAATCTGTTCAGAGATGAAAGGTATGATTTTTGAGTGCTCCGTCCAAAACAGAAACGCATATATGAAGTTGGGATGAAGACGCTCCTGTATTTTAGTCATTTTTGAAAGCAGA